GCACAGTGCAGTCAGTTATAAAAATAAAAATAAGGCTTGGACAAAATATACGAAAAAAACAGCCACGTCTTCAAATATTCTCTGTTGCCAATAAACATATTGTTAAAAAAGCAGGCCTAATTAAAGACCTCAAATTGCTAAGAAAAAACACTATTATATATGTCAAAAAAGAAGAGAAAGTTGCTTTACAGCTGATGAATGGAAATGAAAAGATTAAAGAACTTAAAGTTGTTTAAGCATTCATACTAAACAGTGGTTTATGTGCATAGCTAGAAGCTCCTAATAACCCGAATTTCTTAAACACACCACAGATAATGTAGTTGTTGTACAGAGTCTCCTACTGAAATAAAAGAAGCAGCCCAGAATTACTTAAATACTTCTGTATCATTAGGCAACCCCTCGGTGTATAAGATATTCCGAGATATTCCATACTCCAAATATATCCTATTAATTTTTGAAAATAGTGCTATCCATTATATACAATTTAAAACCACCACAGAGCAAATGATCTATGGTTTTTGCAAAGAAAAATAAAAAAGCACAGATAAATATCCCTTATAAAGAATTACTTGGTTTAAATTATGCATGGAGTAAAAATCTGGCTATGATATATCCGTTTTTATTCTCATTCGTTTCTTTTTTTCTTTATATTCAGTTTTTTAAACTCAAACTCCAACTTTGTTTTTGTTTCTTGAATAATAGAAGAGTCTTCTGTTGGCGTTTCCTTCAACTGCAATGCCTCTTCTAAGGGTTTCTTAGCACTATCTATATCTAATTCTTTATATTTTGTGTAGTAGACACTCTCACTGCTTATTTTCTCTAATGCATTCTTAGACCTTTCTTTAAGCACTGTTTTAATTTCTTTGCTTTCTAATAACTGCTTTAATGCAGTGCTTCCGTTTTTCAGCCTCTCATCTTGTTCAAGTCTTCTTCCTATTCTGTTTAATATTGTGCTGTCCATAAAAGCCCCTTAGCCAAACGCGTATATTCTTTATACGGGGCAGAGTGTTTAAACTCTTATTATTGTGACAGCCACAAGAATACACACTACGTATATGGAACACTCTTTATTTACTATAATCTAGGTCTAAATGGCCTATACTATTTATAAATATATC